CACACACACACACACACACACACACACACACACACTCACACTCTGATCTTATGCTTTAAAATATGTTACTCATTACGAGCCCCCCCCCCTTCTCTCCCTCCCTCTCTCTCCTGACCATCTCAGTTCTGGAGCTCTGACTGTGGTTGAGTGTTTGAAGAAGTTGCTGCCCCGACCACCCCTGGCGGCAACAACAAGATCCCCCAACCAAACACCTGATTTTAAAATTTAATTAATTGCGCTCCCTGCAATAGAGGTGTTTCTGCCTCCTTGTTTTTCTTTATTTCCTTTTTCTGAACTTTGTAGAGAATCTCTCACTTCACAGTTTCAGTCCTTTTCTGCACGCCATCCAATTTCTGCATCTGAAGGGCCGAAAGCAGGGCGGGAAAGGTGCCAGACTGCTCTCAACCTCCTTTCCGGCCTTCAACCGGAGTCCTCATCCTTTTTTTCCTAGGTTTCAGGCCTCCCCTCCCCTCTCATACTGGGCTACATTTTTCTTTTTCTTTTGTTCCCTATTGGGGTATCTGCCTCCATGTAGTATGAAGTATTGGTGATATTTGCTTTTAATATGTTTGTTTCATTACTCCCCTATATTTTTTTTTGCTCTCCCCCCCCCCCCCCCCCCCCCCCCCCCCCCCCCCCCCCCCCCCCCCCCCCCCCCCCCCCCCCCCCCCCCCCCCCCCCCCCAGTTATTATTCCTATTAACTAACGTCAGTGAGCACTGATACGGACGTAGGTTATTTAAAGACAATACTGCTCCTTTGCTTTGTCATTCCAAGTGGGGGGGGCGGGGGGCGGGGTTTGTGGGCCAGGAGAGGTTGGGCCTTTGCAAATCCCTTTCTCCTTGAGCTTCAGGATAGTCTCCTTTTTAGAAATCAAATTTTCCTGCTTATTCATCAGGCCACTGATCTAAGTCATCTTTACTGATTGAAAGAGAAATGGAAGCACTGTCGTCAAATAAAAACAGGATGAAAATACTGTCTCAAACACAACTAAAACCAATTCAGTTGATAAGCTTCTACTCCTCCGATTATTGTTCCAGAGAGCTTCCAGATGTTAGGTCATAGGGATAATATTTAGAATGAAAAAAAGAGACCCTGAAAAACATGCAAAAGATGAATAAAATAATTTTGAAACAATGTACTGATTCTGACTCTCATTCCATCTCCAGGAGAAAGTAGAACTAACCGCCCCAGAGGATTACTGAGGCTGTAAATCTTCAAGGGAGCAGAATGCCCTTTCTTTCCTAGTGGCTGGTGGTTCAACCCACTGGGTCTTTCAGTAGGTGGCTGAGCAGGGCTTTAATCACTATGACACCAGGGTCCTTAATCTTGGTATTCTAAAAACAAAACAAAGCCAAACCTACTGCCTTAATTGGATTCTGACTCATGGTAACCCTCCCAGCCTGAAAAGACGTGTATGGGAGGGAAACTGCCTCAGCCTCAGGAGTCCAGTGGCTGGTAGTATCCAAAAGACTTATCAGCAGCCCAACAGTTACAGCACTGTGCCTCCTTAATTAACTGTGTAAACTTAAAAAATTAAATAAATAAAGCAAGCAAAAACCAACCCAACAAACCAACCTCTTCTTAAACTATGTATGTTGTTGTTATGTTCTGTCCAGTTGCCTGCAACTCATAGCGACCCCGTGTACAAGAACCATAAACGCCGTTTTATCCTCTGCCAATCTCACTGTCTCAGACACACCTACCTCCATTACCCCAGTCACTGAGTCAATTCATCTCATTGAGGGTCTTCCTCTCCTGCACTGTCCATCCACCTTCCCAAGCATGACATCCCTCTCCAAGGACTGGTCCCTCCTTGCCACATGTCCAAAGTATGTCAGACGAAGCTTCAGAATCCTCTCCTCCCAGGAGCAGCCTGGCTTCACCCTCTCCAGGACAAACATGTTTGTTTTCTTAGCAGTCCATGGTGTATTCAGTACTCTTCTCGAGCACCACAGCTCAAAGGCATCAATTCTCCTTCTGTTATCCCTAGAAATTGCCCAGCTCTCTGATGCATAGCAAGTAATTGCAAAGGATTAATTGCAAAGAAAGTAATTGCAAAAAAATAACATGTATCAGGCGCACCTTAGTCTCCAGACTAACATTGTTGGTCTTCAGCACTTTAGACCGGTCTCTAACTGCAGACTTTCCCCATTGCAATACGTCTTTTAATTTCCTGGCTCCTGGTGCCAAGAGTTTTGACTGTGGAGCCAAGCAAACTAAAACTGTGAACTCTCTCAATCTCTTCACCATCCATCATGATGCTGCCAATTGGTCCAGTGGTGAGAATCTTTGTCTTCTTTTTTTTTTAAATCTTTGTCTTCTTGATATTGAGCCTCAATCCATATTGAAGGCTGCAGTCCTTGACCCTCTGCAGCAAGTGCTTCAGGTCCAAGAAGCAGGGTTGTGTCATCTGCATAACGCAGATTGTTGATGATTCTTCCTCCAATCCTGATGCCACATTTCTTCTCACAGAGCACAGTCTCCTGGATAATCTGTTCTGCATAAAGAATGAAAAGGTATGGAGATAGGACACATCCCTGGTATACACCTTTCCGAATTTGGACTTCAAACTGCTTTGAAAGAATTGGTTAAAAATAAGGCACCAGGAATTGATGGT